TCCTATTTCTCATGTAATCGTCAACATCTTCATGGAGCATTTTGAGAGGAAGGTCCTCAGAAAAACATTCAAAAAACCAGAAATTTGGTTTCGTTATTTAGGCGACACATTCGTGATATGGAGGTTCGTAGCAGAGCCGAACTTCGTAAATTCCTTATTTTCCTCAATAATCCAAATATCCACTCTAGACGTAGAAGAAAATTCTCCTTCTTAGACGTTTTTGTCTCCAAGAAAGTTAACGGTACCTTAGGCCATCAAATGTATAGAAAACCAACACACACAGATAGATACCTACATGCCGAGTCACACCCAGCACAAAAACAGTCTGCAATCAATTCACTATATAGAACTTTCACCATCTTTGACAGAGAACATCAACAGACAGAACTCAATCACTTCAAAATAGTCTTACAGAAAAACGGACACGACAAAAAAAACATAATCAAAACAATCAATAAACATGCAAACAAGACAACAGTCTCTGACACACAATCAGAGAAAATCCTATCCATTCTCCCATGTCAAAAGAACAACAGATCGGATTGGCAGGATTTTAAACAAATACAATCCGAACTATCTTTAAACCACCCAAAAAGATAGGATAAATCTTAAGAAATCCTAAAGATGAAAGACCTCCACTCAGCTCCGCAGAAGTATACAAAATACCTTGTTCCTGCGAGCAAATATTGAGAAACTGGGAGAATGATCAACCTACGGATAAAAGAACACCAACGTGATGTCAGGCTAACACGTAAATCAGCATCAGAATCACAACATCAAATACTGTTTGATAAAACGATAATAGCTAGTATTGCATACTTTTCAAGAAAATATAGAGAAGCTATAGAGATACAAGAACATCCTAACAATCTAAATAGAGATAATAATTAAAACATAAAAAAAATATGGAAAATCATTCTCCCGGTTATTGAAGACCAATTTCTCCCTTCTTCATTCCACCCGATCTACAATTCTCTACTTTCCCGCCACCACTCCAACAAGTAGCGTAATATAAAAAAGGAATGACCTGGAGAAACAGCTCGGTATCAGACTGCTCCTCGTCCTGATGAAGTGGACTGCAAGGACGAAACGTTGGCATTTCAAGAATGGATCTGGACACGGAGAAAACACATAATCTTTGTATAGAAAGCATTCATGGAAGTCTGAAGAAAATTATGTAAATAGTTAAATAATTATATGTATATAAAATTATATATAATTTATATGTTTAATTAATAACATAATATAATATATAAATATCTACAATTTCTCGGAACAATACTTTATTTGAACAATTTTTTTTTAATATTCAAATAATTTTATCAAAGGCTTTTGAGTTAATGATTGTTACCTTATGCGGAAATAAATATATAATCACATAAAAATTTCGTTTCCTTTAATCTGGTCATAAGTTATCATAAAAATTATTGATGATGACTAGATTAAAGGTGGAAATTTTTGATTAAATTTTAGTTTAATTTTGGAGTGCTACTGGCGAGCATAATAAACAAAATAAAAGTTATAATTGTATTTTGAGAAATTGGTTCTCCCTCAGCTCCTTCTATGACTCTCGGACAGATCTGAATTCAGGTGCCTATCCTGGCGCCTATCCTTTATTATTTTCGCTCCGTCTCGCTCCGAGATGACAGAAAAATGGAAACGTTTTCGATTCATGAGCAAAGTGTCGGATAGGCCTGTGGTCTAATACAAAGAAGATGTATACACGCTTCATGTTTCTTTTACAACTGCTGATTAAAATTAGATCGTCCAAATTGGAGCTCTTTAAAACAATTGATATATACGACATCCTTTCAACGTTTGTTACTCAGCTCTATTATTCATCCATTGATCATTTAACGTCGTTTGAAACCCTAGACAAGCTCTGTGAAACATTCATAATTGATCCATATAACGTCTATTAAAAATTTTTTAATACATCGAATGGAGATTTTATTGATGTATAAAATGCGGAAGTCTGGATTTCTAGTGGATATCCACTGGAAGTTTCGCGGTCGTCTAATGAAGGTTTCGAATCTCCATGATGGATGTTTAATGGACGTCTCTTCTATGTGGGATGTATTTGAAATACAAAATTGTATTTTAATGTATTTACAATTACAATTTCAATGTATTTTGTATTTGAAATGCTAAAAAAAATTTTTGATAAAATAATTCTTGAAGTAACGCGACAGACTTACTGACTGCATTCGGAAACGTTAGGGTTATGACAGAAAACGAGACATAACGAGATGTAAGGGTCTGAGCACAAAAATCATAATACTTAGACTTAAATTATAGACGTAAGTAACGTACAAGCTTTCACGTATAACGTACAACTTATTGCCGTATCTCCAAGACGACAATAAATGGTATATCATACACCAAAGCTTGTGTACTTACAACTTAAGCCTAATTGTCGTAGTCATGACGTAGGGTAAAGCCTGTTACATAATAAAGCCGCAATTTGTAAGCTGTAAGGAATTAACCAATCATAATCGATTATTTTTGTCGTTCAACTGTGAATCATTCATGGTGAATTTCTTATGCTGGATTCATACTTGATTCGTACGACGCACGTCGGATCCATTGTGAATCTAGCATTACGGTTTATGAATTGCGGCTCTATATGTAACAAACCTAAGGGCTACCGCACACAAAATTCCGCAACAGTGACCGTAAGAACTTAAGTCAATAATCAGGATTGGTTTAAATCTACATAATCTAATGGAAATGGAAATAACAATTAATTTATCCATAACCTTGCAATAAAGTAAATTTCAACCGGTTGAAACTCTCCTTATGGATAAGTTTACTGCTATTTCTATTTCCGTTAGAGTATGTAGTTCTAAAACAATGTTCTGATTGGCTTATTGGCTTACGTCTTAAAGTTATACAAATTTTGTCCGGCGGCAGCCCTAAAGTTAGTCACGCACATTTTCCATAAGCTCGGATCCTCATACAAACAACAGCGCTTTGACACCGAACGCTGATTGATAAAAAACGAGTAAGGGGGGTAAATGTTATCCCTATAACCAGCTTTTCACCAATTAGTGCTCTGTGTCAAAGCTCTGTTGTCTGTATGAGAATCCGGGCTAACAGTAACAGTAAGGATCATTCCACACAACTTGTATAGCCGCACAAACTTATGTACAAAGAAAATCATCCAATCGTATTTTACATTTGCCTTTATGACAGACATGTGATTGGATAATTTTCTTTATGCATATGCGGCTATGCAAGTTGTGTGGAATGGCTCTAAGACCGGGAGTACAAACTCTTAAATATCGCATAACACGTAATGTATAAATTCAATTAATCAGAGTTCTTTATTTCAAAAGAAAGAAAAGAAAGAAGGAAAAGAAAGAAATGAAGGGCATTGATTGGTATATTTTTTATGTATTACGTGTTATGTGTTATAAGAATTTGTGCTTCCCACTTAAGGTTTTCGACCAATCGCTTTGTCGATTCAGTTCTTCGTAACCGTAACCGTAACAATTGAGCAACGCGATTGGTCGAAAACCTTATTGTACTGTACGAAAAGTGTGTGTGACCAACTAAGACTCGTTCTACAATAGGTCGCAGTCGGAGCCGGGCACTGTACGCATGCGCATTGGATTATCAACTATCAAATGAAATTGTAGTTCGGCTGTCGATCATCAGAATAGAAAATGGTCAACTCCCATCTTTTCGATTCTTACGATACAACTGAATGGAATATAATCTCCATTTTACGGATACAGCTATATAAAATAATTTATCATAGAATACGTTTTCTTAAAAATAATCTCATTCTTATAATTTGTATTCAAATTAATAATAAATTTGAACAAATACTCAATGTTTCAATATCCATTGTTCTGATTTATGATACAATTGTAGACTGGCAAGTCGTACTCATACTCGACATATAACACGCGATTACGACATGTGACCTATTGTAAAACGGGTCTTATACCTTCTACAATAGAGTCGCAAGTTTTAAACCGTAAGAAATTGATCAATAATAAGTGAGAGAAGAATAATCGATTATGATTGGTTAATTTCTTACGGCTTACCGCTTACGTCTCTATTGTAGAAAAGGCCTTAGGGCTGCTGCACACAAAATTTCGCGATAGTAATCGTAAGACGTAAACTTAGCCGATGATCAATTCGTAAAATTAAGCCGAAGTCAATTAGGATATTGCTTTAGGTCTCGTAATCTAACAGAAATAGAAATAACAGTAAACTTATTCATAACCTCGCAATAAAGTGCATTTCAACTGATTGAAGTTCACCTGCTTATAGATAAATTTACTGCTATTTTTATTTCCGTTAGAATTTGTTAGAAAATTTTGAAATATTTTGTATTTTGTATTTAAAAAAGTATTTAAAATACAAATTTTGGAAGTATTTTTTTTTTTTTGTATTTCAAAATCGAAATGTTGAAAGTATCTTGTATTTTGTAATTCAAATACTCAGATTGTCAATATTTTGTATTTTGTATTTCAAATACTTTGATGATGTATTTTGCCCAGCCTTGGGTGCGGCGTATATCAGAACTAACCTATAGATTTTGCCTTTATTGCGATGACATCACTAATGATATTAAAACATTAGAAATCATAAATATAGAAAATACGGAAACATGCAGCTTACTAAACTGTTTAATAAAACTTATTTGCAATATAATTTATTGTATTTTACAATTATTATGTATTTTTTTACTTCATTGCAAGTCAATTTATAATTTATTTAATTATATTCTAAGCACACTTATTATTCAAGGGATGTTCGAACATCCTTAAGACATAGGAATATCCTTTGAATGTTCTTTGGAACGTTTCTTGAAGATCTGCTATTATTAGGGAATTTAATAAATTTTTTATTTTTAATCTAAAATTTATTTTATGTTGATTCTTGAATAACTTAGACTGAAACATTATTAAATTTAATATATGTCTTATCTAATAATTTTTATTATTTGAGAAAAGAGATTAGAAAGAGTAGAGAAAAAAGGCTTGTTTTATGTTAAAACGAAACGTGTATTTACTTTTTTATCAATACAGTTTTGTACTGACACATGTGTAAGATAATATTTTAATTTTAATTAAAGTATAATAGACAATAGATGACATTAAAATTTCTTTAATAATTCCAATTAGATTTTCTTGCGGAATTTGATCTTTAATCGCTCAATGCATCTAATCGTCCTTGACATCCTGCAAACATTTCATCAAATTCTTTCCCTTTTGGCAACCCTCTCCATCTGAAACAATTTCAATAATTTATTTTATTTTCATTTAAGAGAAAAAATATTTGAGAAAATCGCCATAAGATTACAATATTGATTATAATATTGATTGCGTTCAGCAGAACCAATTATATTAAAGAATCATTAAGCGCTAATGATTAATTTTCTCTGCTGAACGCAGCTACTGCCAGTGTTGAAAATCTGTAGTGCACGTAAAGCGTACTATACTAAATTTTCAGTATACTATAGATTTTCAGTGGCAGCGAATATCGGAGCGCAGTCAAGTTCTTTAATAATTAATTAATTTAATAATTAATAAAAATAAAAATTGATCTTGATCTGACTCTTATTCAATTTATGTTATACTTACCAATGTCTTTGCATTTGTTATACATTTCATCGATTTTTTCTTGAGATGTATCATATTTTGACATTTCAACACGAAATTTGTCCCAATCAATTTTTTCCTCTTTCAACTAAAACACAGGAATAGAAATTAATTTCTCATTAATTAATTTTCTTAATGTATATTATATACAGGGTGTCCTGAAATTTGAGGATAATATATTATTATGTGAAGCTTTGTGAAAAACTAAGTAATAAAAGTGTACATTATTTTTTTCCGTAAAGTAAGTTTTTAAATATAAATATTTGAAATTTGACTAATTATAAGTGTTGATTAAAAAGTTATCTGTGTGACAGTGTGACAGCGGCGATTTTATTTAATACCATTGCATATGTCATGTTGTACGGATAAATGACTTTTTAACTTAATATTCTTATGATTATAAGTCAAACTTTATACTTAAAAAACTACTTTACGGAAAAAAAAGTCTTACACTTTTATTATTTAATTTTTCCTGAAGTTTCGCGCTGTAATAATATCACCCTCAAATTTTGAGACTCCTATATATGTAAAATGTAATAGGAGTCTCACTTACAATTCCGAATTTCTTTAATAGACAGGATTTGTAACAGGCTAACTTTTCGTCATTTTCATCTGATTCCTCTTCCTTTCCTTTATGAAGTACGGCTGAAATTTGGATTATTAATGTAGTTATTTATTTAATTAGTTTTTTAATCATGCAATTAATTTATTCTTCACTTACCCGGATCAACACCAGATTCATCGATACAATCTTTTTCATTCTTTACCCATTTCGCTTGGTCTTCTTCTGTTACTTTACCCTACAATCAAATAAAGATATTTGAATATTATAAAATTATTATTCATGTTAATGTTAACATGTTAATGTTATGTTAAATAATTAACGCATTTTTTAATGTACCTATTTGATATTTTTAATTATTTACAAATTATTTTCATAATACATCCTATGGAAGTTAAATAAATATATTTTGAGAAAAAAATAATAAGCAATCTAAAATTAAAGAAGGAAATTAGAGAGCTTTAAATAGAGCCAAATAGAGTTTTAAGAACGTATGTGAATATTAGTAAGTTTGAAAAGAATTGAATAATGAAAATTAATTATACTGAAAATAAATTGCACAATATTTTATAGAGAGATAAATTAAATAGATTATTAGTGGAGACACTCATAATAATGAAATAATCTTACCAAGACGGTGACGAAAGAAACGGCGAGCAAGATAACAATTGTTTTCATTTCGATTTATCGTTCAACACGATGGAATACAAACCTGTGATCAAAGAGTTACTGACTAATCGCAAGAGTGTCCTAAGTTTTTATAGTTTATGACTCTCCTTGATTCCTTCTCTAGCATCATGCGTGGGGGAGTATTTAAATTATATTTGTTATTTTTTCGAGATAGCAACAAATCATCGCAATAACAGTAAAAGTAGCATGTATGCATGTTTTGAAATTCTGCTATTATAATGAATAAAACAGACAATGAATATTAATAACAGAATCATTTTTTAAATATATAACATTTGTTGTACAGGATGTTTCATAAGTCACGATAAAACTCTTACATAAAGACAGAGCGGACTAAACTGAAATGAAAAGTCTTCTATCATTTTACAATTTTCGCAATAATTAACAAGATATCAATTACTAAAAATCACCAAATATTGATTTTCAATAATTTTTTCTCAAGTATTAATTTTACAAAAAAAAAACAGTAAGAAACAAAAATTATTTATTTTCTTCTTATATATTTTCTTCTTTCTAGAAGAAAATCTCTAAGAATTTTTTCAAAATTTTTTATGTACTTTTTAGTAATGTATTTTTTTATTGGTAACTATTTTTATGAATATGAGAAAATGCGGTACTACAAAATTTTCTGTAAAGTTGATAGTATTTGAATAAAAAATTATTGAAAATCAATATTCAGCGATTTTTAGTAATTAATATCTTGTTAACCATTGCGAAAATTGTTAAATGGTAGAAAACTTTTCGACTCAGTTTAATCTGCTCTACCCTTATGCGAGAGTTTTATCGTTACTTACTTCTGTATATGTTTAAGATAATAACCAAAAACAAAAAATAAAAATAGTATATTAAATAAAAAATTTGAATTTTTATTCCAATTATAATTACTTACTACAAACTTCCATAAGTTGTAAGATAAAAAAATCAATGAACATGAATACTGAGGTCATACTTATGATGCACTATATAATCATAGATTTATTCGCATTGCTTGTATTTTTTGCATCTCATTCCAACATTTGAATATATCTCTTTTTAAGTGAAAAATTTTTTTCAACGCGAACAAATTTCATGTTAGCGCGTATTTAATTTACATCATATTATAGAGTTTCAGAAATAAAAATGCGCATTTATATTAATAAAAGTGTTCTAAATATGCCTGAATTTTTTGTAAATTGAACGTAAAGAGGCGCGATGGAAAGAAAATAATTGCTTTTTATTATAACACAAGTGAACTACTGAATCTAAAGTTCTGTGAATATTTTATATTCATTGTTAGATAATGACGTTACCATTTACTTACTTTGGTAACAAAATTATGTTATAACAATATAGGTTTATACATCTCACTTTTAATGTAAGTTAATAAAACATTGTCAGTAAAACACACACTTTCGAGTTTGTGCAGTTTTTAAAAAATTCAATCGAATTTCATTTGATAGAATGAAAAGAAACGTGCATTCAATTGAATTATGACGTCACAAATGAGAATTATCTGAACTTTTGTGTAAATGAAAAGCAATTAATACCTATTACAAATTTTTTTTGCAACACATATGAAACAAAGAGAGAATAAATTTTTAAACAAAGCACTACAGAATAACTACGTAATGATCGCTGATCATTTATAATTATGCAACAAATGACATATACACAATGATAATCACTGACAATAACAAAGAATAGAATACAAAATTTGACATTCATTGAAAAAGTGCGAGATGACTCGTATTAATTTATAATGCTTGAGCATCATTAATTTTATTTTTAGCTTAACATATTGGTATCATTTAAATCTAACTATACGTATTTGATTAAGACATGAAATAAAAATACACGATTTTTCTCTTTTTTTTCTTAGAGGGCATTAAGTAGAACTACTTTCTGTTAAAAATTTCTTCGGTATAATAAATATATCTCTGTTTTTCTTTGTAATTCTTGAAATAAATGCTTCATCTAAAGATGGATATCTGCCGGACATATATAATTTGATTTTTTGGAATTATTGTGGTTACGTCTATTACGTAAAGTTAGATTATTCTGAGAGTTGATTATCTCACACTGCATGCATACGTACACACACACATACGCACACACACACACACACACACACACATCGCACACTTATTATTATTATCATTATATAGCTAATTTCCTTCATTGTAATAAAGTGTCCTCCTCCTATCATAAAAATAGTTGCGATATGTTACTATGTAATTTAGTTTACGTAAATATTTCATCGTAACACATAATCATTGTGATTCAAATAAAAATGTAGATGTACAGGACAGATTGCAGTTTTCAAGATTGATTATCGTGAACTTTGATAACTGCTGATGCTAAGTATTTGACACTTATATAAGAATGTTTAATTACTTGTATGTAACAGCTAATATTATCTAATATTGGACAAAATATCAACTATAAAAAATTAACATTAGCTTCAGAGAATTAACAATTTGTTGTCAAATATATTCTGAAACTAACAAAGCAAAGAAACAAAACAACAAATAGTTTTCGTTTTGTGTATAAACGTAAAGAGGATTTGCCACTCATAGCGGTCAGTTTGCGAAATTAAACTGAAACAGTGAAAATACTCGCAATTAACCCGTTATTTAACGCATAAATAAGATTATAATGAAAATTGTTACAGTTTTGTGTTACAGTTTGATGAAATTAGAAATTAGAAATTATGATTAGGAACAAGTAAGACATATGTTGTAATTTTCTTTTGATTAATATTAATCGATTTATTAATAATAATAGAAAATTAATCGTATTTTGTAAATGTACATTGTATGGGATGATATAAAAACAAGAAAATCATAAAAAGAAAAGAAAAACATAAATATTTAGTGTGAACATATTACGAATGAATTTTAGAATGAAAAATTTGATGTTTTCATCAAAATTAATTCCTGAATGAAGCTAGTTCCATAATGTCAATCAAATCTGCTTTCTGCCAGATATTAGAAAACGTTATTGTGTCTGCAACAAAAATTCATTCGTAAGATGTTACAGTGCAGTAAATATTTATGTTTTTTGATTTATATCATCCCGTACGTCTACAATATACGTCTACAAACCATGATTATTTCCTATTATTATTAATAAATTAATCGATTAATAAATTATTATTAATAAATCAAATCTTCAAAATAAGATTACAAAACTTGTTGAGACTTACTTCCTAATCATAATTTCCAATTTCTAATTTTATCAGAAACCGTAATAGTTTTTATTACAATCTTATTTATGCGTTCATGTGAACAACGATGATGATAACGTTGATAATAATATTCCATAAATGTGTGTTTAATTATCTATAATACTAATATATAATTTCATGAAATTTCATTGCAATCAAAAAGTAATTAAAACTAATAACATTAAATAAAATTTATAAAGATATTGATATTTTCATTTATACAGTACGTTTTTCAAATTATTACAATAATTATTTAAAAAATCTTCGAAACTATGGGCCATGACTGAAACAGTCGGATATGTGTGTCGTTTTTTTTTTCGCTCAAAAATAGTCTGTTAAAAGCATATCAAAATCCTTGATCCCATCACCTGGTGTTCCCCTTGTCTGATAAATTATTTTACTGTTTTCCAACATTTAATATACACTATCCACATAAAGTATAAAGACGTGAAATATGATTAAGAGCTGTAAAAAAATTGAGATAAGTATAATTTATTTTGATAAGTATAATTTACTAGTGAATAAAGACTCAAAAATTGCAAGAAAAATATCGACAATTATTAAGTTTAATATACTATCAAAAAAATTGTTAAAAAATATATTAATCAACGCGTTATTTTGTAAACTAAATCTAGCAGAAAAAAACATCATTCGGCTTAATTAAAGGAATTGTTAAGTATTTACAGTAGAAGATTAGAAAAATCTATCAGATTAACTATGAGATATATAGAATACGCCACAGCGAGATAGGTATATATTGAGGATATTAAAATTGATAACTATTTAGATTAGAAAATCCGTCATATCGACGAAATAATTCAAAATTTATACTTACATGTTAATTAATTAAAGATATAAATTTTCTTATATAATTTAAATTATAGCAGAGAATATTTTAGGATTAAGAATTTATACTTTAATTTTTCATTCTTACCTGACCTCAATGCATACGCGCAGTTATTGCTACATATGTCGATATAACAAGTTTCATAATTTCAGTATCAAGTGAATGGCAAACTTCTATGATTAATATCTCGCTTCATGGAATAGAGCGACACTTTTTTCTGTCAGATTCGTTTGTTTCATTAAAAAATGTTCATTGTTAAGAGAAAATCTGATATCGACTTTGTTTTTAGATAATATTTCTCAAACAAAAGATAAAAATAAAACTTTAAATAAATAAATACAAATGTGTCTTCTATCAGATAATATAAGCAGTGTTTATAATACTGTAATTTTGCAATAATTAATTTTTTTCTGTATAAAATACCTACAAGTGAATGTAAGATTTTTTAGAATCTTTTCACTTCGATATAAAACATTTTTGTTGAATTATATACGTATTTACTTTATGCTGTTCTGCAAGATGCAAATATGTAATACGATAATTTTTCAAGAGCTTAACATTTTGACAAATGTATTTGTTAAATTTAAATATTGATTATTAATCAAGTTATTGTATAAAATGTAAAATGGGGTTCCGTAACATCATCTTCTCTTCTAATATTGACAAACAAGAATGATCCATTTTATTACACTGTTTACAAGTTATCAGGATACATATATAGTCTATTAATAGACTATAATTCAATCAATATCTTCTATTATCTTATCAAGTGGATGCCAAACGTAATAATTAAATCAATTGTGAAAATTTTAGCAAAGCATATATTCTATTTAAAAAAAAAAGGCAATTACATTTCTCGATAGAGCAATATTTAAGCTTTAAGAGCCTGTATTTTTAATTGCGATTTATTTGATAATGATTTTTAACGGAGTTACGAGCAATAAAGTCAGAATGTTCCTTTTTACTTAATTCGCGA